GAAAAAGTTATTTTTCCTCCCCTCCTTTTTGCTAAGATACCACCTTGCATAAATATTTTACAGAAATTATTTAATTGTTTTGCAATCATGGATAGCAGGACATAATGAGCCTAAAATGAGACATATCTGCATTTGAGGAAGGTTTTATTTGCAAGAATTGATGTGCATAAAGGAAAGGGACTGTGAGGAAGAGGTTTTGTGCATCTAGGCCTGGTGGCTGAGATGGAAGAAAAGTGGGGAAATCAAGAGAATAACTTAGTGGTTGGCCCCTAATCTGGTTCTCAAGCCTAGCCCAATGGACTAAGTCTGAGTCTTATGGAAAAGAAGGGCAGCAGACAAAAGCTTTATGAATTAAAAGACTTATAAAAATGGGGTACATAGGGCTATTTAGGGGCCAGGCAACAGGCTATGACAACGGTAGGAATGGTGAGCCTTCTTTCTATTTCTACACTGTCCTTTGGTTGGGAAGATCACCAGTGTATCTTAATGTGGGGAGTGAAGGCAGAGCTCCCGTGAGGAGTTCAGTTATGGCCATGGAAACTCTGCAGTGGGCAAGGAAAACCATACCCTGTATGCCAAAAGCAAGACCATGGCTGCTCTGCCATATCCAGAGGGAGAAGATTTATGGGTGAGCATTTAGAAGAAACAATGATTCAGTAATAAAATTGGTTTAAGAAATCTTACAGACCACTAGAAATACTCTAAAGTTGGCCTTTTTAAGGAGCTGGGGGCCTATTAAAATTTGGATATGAAGTGTCCCCCAAAAGCTACTATGTTAATGCAGGAGGTGAAATTATTAGATTGTGAGAGCTATAACCTAATCAGTGGATTAATCTATTTGATAGATTTATAATTTGAAAAGATTGCTGTCTTGGGTGGCAACTCTAGGCAGGTGGGGCCTGACTGGAGGAGGTAGGTCACTGGGTGCGTGTCCTTGGGCATTAAATCTTATCCCCCTGATTCCTCCTTCACTCTCTTTGTTTCCTGGTTGCCACGAGGTGAGTAGCTTCCCTCTGCCATGCCCTTCTGCCAGGATGCTCTGCCTAAGCTTGGACCCAAAGTGATGTAGTTGGCAAACCATGGACTAAACCTCTGAAACCATAAGCCCAAGATAAACTTTCCTGCTGTAAGTTATCACTGTCAGATATTTTTGTCACAACAATGAAAAGCTAACACAGGGCCTATACCTTGGAGGAGAAATAACTGACTAAGTGTAGATTATCCACTGTCAATATAACCCTACTTTATAGTCATAGTCTGGAGGCCTGGTAAAATCTGGTTACGATACGGCTGTTAAATAAAGACAAAATGTCTCCAATGGAAAATTTTAGAACAAATAGGGGGAAGTGACAGGAATATGACTCAACATAAAATGACTTTTTCATAATTAGTACTCCTTATCAATGGAAGTCCTTCATGATACATTGGGAATATTATCACCAGAGAGGTTGTCAAGAATGTCCCAGAGGTGACACACATCTCATTGAGAGGCATGGAGCAAATCATTTCCAACTCTTGAACTGGTTATTATTCGTGGCAGGAAGACCAAGAGACCAGCTATGACAAAGGAGTTCACTGCATAACACACTAAGCAGAACGGAGGAGTCAGCGATAAAATTGATTCAAAAAAGTCTTCAAGGACTGTCTATAAAAACCATCAAGCCACAAACCAGATTTCATCGGAATTGAAATAGCACCCTGATATATTGATCCAGGAAGACATAGAGATTATCTTTAAAAAGCTATACTATTATATCTGAATGATGTTCAGAGGACTGAGGTATTTAATGGACGTTATGTATAGCAGGGGTGTTAAGTGACGAAAGGTCAAAGGAAAGATTCACAGTGTGTCGAGAGCAGGCTGTGATTTGCAGACTCATCGTGGGTCTCAACATCCCTTCCATGCCACTGGCATTGCAAATGCCAGAGCCCCCTGTCTTTATCCTTTAACTTCTATTAAAGGACTGGAGGAAACTACATCTACAAGAGGAAAATTACTCGGCAATGAAGGAAAGGCCTTTTGAGGTAAATGAACGTTCTCCATTAGTTTAAAATCCATAAATAGAAAGATGAAGAGGACTATCTCATAATGTCAAAGTTCAAAGGCACTTTTCAAATGTCTCTTTAAAGAAAACCTGACCTACCTTTCCTCCTCCTCCTCCTCCTCCTCCTCCTGCTCCTGCTCCTCCTCCTCCTCCTCCTCCTCCTCCTCCTCCTCCTCCTTCTTCTTTTTTTAATTATCAGAAAGTTTTCCAAGGGCAGTTTGTGCCTTGGGTCACTTCATTTTGACATGGAACTTCTCTCAGCATTAAAACTAATCAAAAGGCTAGAAGTATTTAACTCTGAAGTACCAGGAAAACATGTTCAACATAAAAATAATAATATTGAAGGCTTAGGATTTTAAAGGTTGTGCTTTAATAACTCCATAAAGCTCCCCCGTATAGGAGAAATATACTTTACATGAGGCTGTAACTAGTTTAAAAAGTGATCATGAATAGATATTTTCTCTAGTGTGGCAAATGTTATTTTATAGCATTATATTTAGGTAGAATTCTGAGCATAACACTGATAACTCTGTTTTTGTTAGGCACATATTAGCTGTCATTACATACAGATGTGAACATAAATACATTTTCATGAATATAAAAACCTCTTACAAAAGGTCCCTTTTTCTCATTTTAAGGTGTAACTTACAGAAAGTAAAATTCACTCTTTTTTAAAAATATTTAATTCTTCAAGTGTTGACAAAGGCAGTTGTATAACTACCATCCCAAAGAAGGTACAGAACTGTTCTGTCACTACCAAATTCCCCTCTGGCCAAGCTGTCTCTCCTTTTTCAGTCTCTGGTAACTACTAACCTGCTTTCTTTCTTTTTTTTAAAATTTTTTAGTTGTAGTTGGACATAATACCTTTTTTATTTATTTATTTTTATGTGGTGCTGAGGATCAAATCCAGGGCCTCACCCATGCTAGGCAAGAGCTCTACCGCTGAGCCACAACCCTAGCCGCCTAACCTGCTTTCTATTCCTATAATTTTAACTTTCCAAGAAAGCTGTATAACTGAAATCAAGCAGAATATAACAGAGACCTCTTTTAAACTTCATATACTTTTTAAAAAGTAAAGTGACTCAATGAAGTAGTCATTTAACTTTATTGATTTCTATTTTCTGAAATTAAAGGCAATAATAAATATTAAAAATCAGATTACCCTGGAATATTCTATCTTGAAATAGGTGCTGTCTAGAAAGCCTTTTGAAAATATAAATCTCTAGGACTTCACGTTTGACACATTGAATCAGAATTTCTCAGTGTGCATCTTGAAAATTTAGTTTTTGCCGAATTCTCCAAGCTTGATTCTGATGAACAAACCAGATTTGAGAAACATTAACCCAAGTGGTATTCACTATATGGGATTAACTATCTTATTTTAAATTATAGGTGGCAAAGGGGTCAAAGTTCAGAGGTTGGGAGAAACAATCTTGGCCTTGGATTTGGGGCTACCTCTTTCTGGCCTGCTGATTTTCAACAAGGCAAATTTGCTATTTATGATTTGGATATGAGCTATCCCCCAAAACCTCATGTGTGAGGTAATACAAGAAGGCTTAGAGGTGAAATAATTGGGTTATGAGAGCCTTAACCCAATAAGTGAATTAATCCCCAGATAAGGATTAACTGAGTGGTAACTGAAGGTGGGTAGGGTATGGCTGGAGGAGGTGGGTCTCTGGGGGAGTGCCTTTGGGGTATATATTTTGTATTTGTCAAGTGGTTGGCATACTGCTTGGCATACTTGGTACTCAGTGACTAGAAGCAGCTCATGTTGTTAGCAATGTTGGATCATCATCATCGTTATCATCCTCAAACTGTCCTGGGCACTATTTTTCTCCAATCTCTGCATTTTAATCAGTTTCATATTTTTTTAGCCCTTCCCTTACAGAACTAGTTTTTATACCAGACCAGCTATTACTCAGGGTGGTGCAAAGCTTAGAGATATTCACTAGTTGTTCCCAAACCCTCATTTTTACTGTGGCCCCAAAGATGCCAGCAGAGACAAATAGCAAATTATCTGAAACTCTCTTTCTCTTTTTTTTTCCTAAAGAGATATTGTTCACCAAATGCAAGCCAGCAAAGAGAAGAAGAGAAGCAAAGGGCCAGAATAAAGCAGAAAATTAGGTTTTCTGCATACTTAGGGAACATTTAAAAACTGATTTTATTCATTAGTAATTTCAGTCTAATGTTTGGTACAAAAGAAATTGAAACTGGTGGCTTAAAGAAAACAGATTTGCTCCATTGTTACTCCATATTAACTTGCATAAAGAATTTGGATTCCAAGTTTGGAAAGCAGCAGAATACTTTACAATTTATCTCAGACCATTCAGGGAGTCATTCAGGGGAATGGGGGACTAAAATCTAAAGACAACATTTTAATCACAGTATAAGTACTAACATTTAGCTTCATAAACTGCAAGCTAGTTGTATAGACATCATTATTCAGTCATGGTTTTTATTTAAGCTCTGAAATACAGAAGCTTTGGCTGTACTTGTTGATGGGAAAAGAACAACTCCTATCATCAAAAAATTTATACAACACTGCTAACATCAAGTACTAAGGAGGATTAACATGCTAAGTGAAATAAGCTAATCCCACAAAACCAAAGGCCAAATGTTTTCTCTAATATGCTGATGCTAATTCACAATAAGGTGGGGGGCACTAGGGAAAAATAGCATTACCTTAGATTAGGTAGAGGGAAGTGATGGGAGGAAAGAGGAGGGATGTGGGGATAGGAAAGATAGTAGAATGAAACAGACATTATTACTGTATGTATATATATGACTACATGGCCAATATGATTCTGCAACATTGTACACTCAGAAAAATGAGAAATTATATACCATCTATGTATAATATATCAAAGTGCATAAATGCATTCTACTGTCATATATAACTAATTAAAACAAATGAAAATATTAAAAAACAAAAACAAACATGAGCTCAAGCCCTACCTGTTCTCAGCATCAGCGCTGCACTTTGGGGACATCAATTCAAAGGATTTGGTAAACTTCACCACCTGCCATTCAAAAAGACAGCAAATCTAGGTCAATTAAGTCTTTCTCATGGTTTAAAATAATGCAATAAACATTTTCCATCTTTATAATGATTATTACAATGATTGCAGATTAAAGAGAGATTTTTAAATGGAGAGATTCCAAGGAAGAGAAGAAACTTTTAATCCACATTTTGTATTTCACTTCTTACACAGCATATACTGCCAAATTAAATTTTACTAAACCTGTATACATTTTTACAATAAGCTGTGGAGGTCAGGAAAAGGAACATTTCATTTGGATACTTAATTTAATTTTTTAAAACTGTTATGTTAACAACCAATCACCATCCATGGAAAACCAGGTGGGGCAGCAGGTTCCCAAAAGGAACATCCACATCAGGTTCTTGAAGTTAGTTTCCTTGGCTCGTTTTTGTTGTCAGATGAACATTTTGGTGTCAACATCCAAAGGGTAAAAAAGAAATCACCTTCTTCAATGATCATCCCTGGGGTGGACACTTTCTCCATCTCCAGTCCAGCACCCTCAGTACAAGAGTCTGACCCAGACTTACTATGTGGAAAGGGAATTTATGAGCACAGAGAAAATGTCAACATGGTGTTTTCATTTTTAGCTATTAGTGTGTTCTTATTATAAATCAGGTCCTACACTGGAAACTTCTTTGGTTCTTAATTTTTTCATTATAATTTTATAAAGTAGATATTTTTATCTTCAGTCTATAAATGGGCCAAATAACCCATAATTTTTAAGAAACTAGCTCAGTTTTTGCACAATGAAGTGAGGCAACTGGAATTAAAGCAAATCTGCCTGATCTTCAAGGACCAGCTCTTTCAAAAATACTTCAAATGTTGAGTGGGAAGGGGACCATTTCTAGCCCTCTTTTGACAAAATATACCACATGATAGAAAAATATGACCCTTGTGCTAGAAGGAGTACATCTGAATGTTATTAGATGTTCCCAAGGTTGACATTTCAAACTGGCTTAGTCAGATGCAGTTATGCTTCAAAGGCCTTTTAAATTAACCACTTACAAGGAATTGATGGGCACCAGAGAAAATGATCTGGAAACAGAATAGGTGAAATATTGATGGAAAATATTGTTGATGGAAAAAGAACAACTCCTATCATCAAAGAATTTATACAACACTGCTAACATCAAGTACTAAGGAGCATTAACATGCTAAGTGAAATAAGCTAATCTCACAAAACCAAAGGCCGAATGTTCTCTAATATGCTGATGCTAATTCACAATAAGGTGGGGGACACTAGGGAAGGCGCTCACAGTTTTACCAGTGAGGTCATGAGTCCAGATTAGGAAAATGCAACATGAGGAAAAAGGAAACAGAAAAGAAAGGGACATCACAAAGACAACTGGGAACAATTACCTGAATGTACACTGTGATAATAGGTCAGTTGCAAGGAAATCCTCTTGACAACCACAGAACATATTTTATTTCATATTAAAAGGTAAAATGAGCCTCTACAGAATCTACTCAGTGTTCACCTTTATTTCCAAAGATGGCCTCAATAATATCTCCTATCCCACATTCTCTACAATGAGACACTGCCACCTTCCTCTAAGTGATACAGTCTGCCCCTAGTCCTTGAACCTGCTGAGCTTCTGACTGCTTCAGCCAATGGAATATATGGAAGACATGCTATATGCCTTTCCAGATGGTCATAAAAGGGAACACAGCTTTTGCCTCGTCTGATAGAATACTTGAGTCTGGATATTGAAGTAAGAAATCCAGTTTCCCTGAGTCCTCTAGGCTGAAAGGGAGCCAGACCACATACAAAAGCCACACACAGGTGCTCTGCTCAGCAGCCGGAGCCTTTATGCTACCCCTACCAGGCACCTGAGAAATCTTCAGATGATTCTAGTTCCCAACAAATAAGTCAGCCTCCATATCCTGGAAAGAGCATATCCCACTGTGCCCTCTCCATATTCCTATCCACCAAATTTGTAATTAATTTGTAATTTGTAATGGTGGGCTTAGGCCTCTACATTTTGGGCTTATTTGTTACACAGCAAAAGTAACTGGAATACCTACCTATATTAAGTGAGGATTTAAAGAGAAACTAATCATTTAGAAATCTTGATCCAGCTATAATATTCTTGAATCTCAGGCTAGCAAGTCACAAAGAGACTATTTACTACCATCAAATAATAAATCTTTCAAAGTGTATCCAAATACAGTTTTATTAGTTATAACAAGAACAATATAAAAAGTAGAAGCATTTCATTTATGTTTGCAGAGTAAGAGATTGTCAGACACTGAGTCGGTCCTATATGTCCACCTTGGTCTTTCATAATTTATAATTTCTTTCCATTATTTTTGCTTTCATGGTAGTAAATTCTTCCATTTTTATCATGTTCTAGGCTGCTGTTTTACAACAAATGAGGCATTTTGCATGTTATGACCAATCCTTTATGTGTGTGCCAATGCTTACAACATAAACACAGGGTAAATATTATCTCATTTTATTAAAGAGAAAATAAGTTTTAGAATGATTAAGGGGTTTGCTAGAAGCCATATAAGCAGTAACTTAACAGAATTGAGATTTGAAACATGTCTTTCTGATTCCACAGCCCTAGTTTTTCTACTACCCCTTGCTGTCTTCATAAGCAAGAGCAAGTGGTATTGCAGTAGCAAATTATGTAGACATGACTCCTTCAAAACCACAATATTTAGATTAAACCCTGCTTTAAAAAATACTAAATATCCTATTCTAAGCCCAATTTTGGATAATAAACACAGAATAATGATAACTTGAAATAAAAAAACTTAACTTGGTATAAAATCAATCAAATTACTAGTAAACTATTGTTTCTGCATTTGGAAATTCAGCAGGATGCATCTTTTAATTTCCTGACCTGATAGATTAAATTCTCTAATATTACTAAGAATACTTCATTTTACTATTGCTTAGATTATTTTACAATTCTGTAAGGGTAGGTGTTAACTTTTGAAAAACTGACAGCAATGCAAACTATTTTTGTCTTATAGCAATGCAAATGAATTTTATCCAAGGAGAATAGGAAGTGATATCTGTGTATCAGAAAAGAAAATCCCAATGGTTCCAATTTTATTGTCCTGGAGGTAGCAATTATTTTAAAGATCTAATCTAGCAGGCTTTTGCCAGCATTCTTGTTGCCTGAGTGAGAAGCTCAAGACCAGCCTGGGCAATATTGCCAAGGCCCCATCTCAAAAGGAGAGAGAGAGAGAGAAGGAGAGAGAGGGGGTGGGGGGAGGAAAGAATGAAAGAAGGAGGAGACAAGGGAAGAAAAAAAACAGTAAGAGAATAGGATATCCTGAAATTTCAAGCCATATAACTTATGGATGTAGAATCACAATAAAAATAGATATGTACAAGTTCCTCTTAATGAAATATCACAATGTAGATATAAGAAGAGCTTTTTAAAAAGTCACTGAAAAGAAAAAAAAAACACTTTGTTGAAAAGAAAAATACAGTCAAAACATTTTGTCTTATTTGTATTTGGTGTTCTAAATACATGTTTAATGGATAAAGGGAAAACCCAAGATGATGTATCTTTCAACTTCTGGCACTCCATCTCATAGAGAATACCCCCTATCTCTGCCCATGCTGTAATAACCAAAGTCAGACACTGAACCATGGGGTTGACCTTGTGTGTAGCAAGGAATTTAACCTTGCTCAAACAAAGTTCAGGCTTTGGCCCCTAGCTCCTGAGAGGGAATCTTTAACCCCTTGGAATATCTTCCGCAATAAATGAACCTGCTTACTTGATTGGAGCTTTGGGATAGCCAGTTAGGAACAGTGTGATTTAGAATGGGGGTGATTTCACATGGGGCTTTTGGGTCACATGGTATCAGTGGAACTCTGGAGGAAAAGAGACAGAGGTCATCACGTAAGTGGCCAACTAGGTTTCTGTGATAAAACCCCAGCAAGACTCTAGACATGGAGGCTTAGGCTTTAGTTGGCAAAATTTCATATTATATAAGAATAAAAAGAAGCTTATACAATTCAATGATATATATAGAGTGACACTGGAGAAATTAGAATCAAAAGGAAACAGGTGGGCTGGGAGTGTAGCTCAGTGGTAGAGAACTTGGGCAGAGTGCTCGAGGCCCTGAGTTTGATGGCAGCACCCCCATAAGATAAACAAAAAGAAATGGATGAATGAATAAATAAAAGAGAGTAGAAGTCACGCTTTTTTCCTGACTTGGACCAATTTGACGTTTTTGAGTTTTATTAATTTTTAAAATATACTATTTAAATCCAATTCTGATGTTATTACATACATACTAAATAAACATGGGTTAAATACATACATTCACATACACTAAGTGAAAAAAAAAAGATACACTTATAAGGAAAATTTCAGAAGTGGTTTACAGGTCAATGAGACTGAACAAGTGGTTCCAAGTCCCATTTATTGTTGAGCAGCCCTGGCGATCACATCCTGGGGAAACAGCACACACACCAAGTAAAGTAAGCAAAATATCCCCTGCTTGTTCTTTGGAAAAGCTCCATGGACAGAAGTCTTTTTGATTTGGATGCTTATCAAATGCCAGTTAGCCTGGTTTCTCTCTGTTCTTCTAATTCAAAAACAATTTAAAAAACAAAACTATGCTCAAGCAGATATCTCCGTCATCCAAAAAGAAAATTATCTACTAAGTATTCACCAATCTTTTTCCAAACTTTTGGAACCCTCATTTTTTCTCAATAGGGCTACTCAAAGGGTCAAAAAATGAATTAAATAATCATCCATCATCACCCTCTTCATAAATTTCTCCCTTATTAATGATTCTAATCATTAATTCAACTCAATCAAAACTTACCCAGTACTTATTGCATCAAGCACTGTTATAATAGCTCTGAAGAAACCAAGGGATATAAACATTCTGTCCTTCAGGAAGTCACAACATAGTACAGCACAGAGGGGGGAAAAGTTCAAAAATGTAGGGTTTCACCACGATGTGCCTACGATGTGCACTAGGGCACAGAAGAGAATTTCCATATT